CCCCAAAACCCCAAAACCCCATCTGGGTGGATTAAAAATATTCTAAAAAATAGATAAATATATTATTAAATAATTTAATGGAAAAATCTTTGGGATTGCAGTAATTTGAGAAAAGAATGGTAGATTTATTTCATCATAAAAAATAAATGCTTAGACAAGAATTATTCCCCTACTTAGATGACTAGGATGTTATTAAATTACTCTAAACTTCAAAACTTATTGGATAAGTTATAAGTGAGCATTTTAGCATTTGGAAGAATCATGCCTCTTTGATAGCGAATAAGCTTTAAATAGATTATGATGGCCTTTTACAATTCAACACGTTTCAAGATTATAAGGAAGCTTAAAAACTATCAATTGTAAATAATACTTAGCATACCTATAGAAGATTTTTTGAAGGTAAAAATGAAATCCTAGCTTATGCTGGAGGAATGTGGTCTTGGAAAGATGATAAAAGGTACTATGAAATAGAAGATAGAACTGATAGTACTTTTGGCTTGAAGGTGAGCTATATGAATACGGTATGTTGGCTTGATCCATGGGCAGCAGCATAAAGAGTAATCCCTGGAATTTATGACTTATTTATAATCCATGGAGTGAAAAATTCTCAGTCAGACAGATAAGGAATAATGTAGCAGGCCACTCTTTTTGTAGAGAAGGAAGAAAATGAAACAAAAACTGAATTAATTAAAATAGAGAGATTTATCCCAAGAGAAATTTGTTTATAAATGCCATAGAACAAACTTGTTAGAACTCTGATATGCAGATTGGATTTAACTTAAAATTAGAGTGAATGTACCATAACATTAAGGCTCTTTGATGGTGGTGGAAATTGGAAATCAGATTATTTATTTGAAGGCTTTGCACTCGTTTAAGTTAAACCAGAAAAAGTGGCTGACTCAATACCTAAATAAAATGCTTGATTTTGATTGATATCTCAAATCTAAATATATGGCTAGAACTGTAAGCGATAATGATAAAACATAAATAGAGGGGCTTGCAAAATATGGAAAAATCAAATGCTGTAGTGAAACTCTTTAGTTGAGAATCTAGCTATTGAGAAGAACTTTTTAAAGTATTGAGATATGAAAATAGGACTACAAGTACATATTCAACAACAAAAATAGGGATTTAAAATTTTATAAATTTCCATATTTAATAAAAAATCATGTTTTTATATTACATCCCTATTTGGGGTTTTGGGGTTTTGGGGTTTTGGGG